CTCAAGGCGGTCGTTCTATTTCCCAATTCTTCTTAAAGATCAATAATATTTGTTTGGAGATCTCTCATTGATCCGGAAGAACCTATTTCGGCAGCATGAATGAAGCAATGCATCATTTGTAGGTTAAAGAGGGAGTATATTCTCAAAGTTACATCTATTCAAGGGTGGGTTATGCAGCCTTCCTTGATGGAATTTGAGAGTCTCTTTGGTGGCCTGCTTAGTGGCTGAATGTTCTTTTAGAAAATGATGGAGATGATTGCATATGCATAATCTCCTTTCTAGAAAATCACTTTAAGATGAAGTGTTAAAATTGTTAAAGTGTATTTTCTAAAATTATATTAGTCTTTATTTTATTTTATCATGAGTGATGTAGTAAGGTTGCACTTGTAAGTTTGTATAGTAGGAAGTTGTAAAACTACTAGGTAGTTAGTAGTTATTGTTGCAAGTAGGTAGTTATTGTAGGAAATATGGTTGCAAAAATCTTTTATTTAAAAAGAGGTGTATGGTGAGAAAATTGGGTACAAGTATTAAGGTTAATCTTAGGTGTCAACATTATAATTCCTTTGTGTACTCCCTGGGTCACATAGATTAAGGTTAATATTGGGTGTCAAGATTGTAATGCCTTTGTGTACCTGATATTTTTATTTAATAAATGTTTTTCTTCCACCTCATCTTGGTTCTTTTTCTTCTTTCTATTTAGTTGTGAGTCTTGGGCTAGTGTGACATTGTTACACTATTTGAGAAGCGGATTGCTCCGGTTTTGTGGTATCCGTCGTTGTCTACAGAGCCCTGAGTGAACTTTGAGAAATAGAGAGAAATTTTAAAATAGAGTGGTTGTAGTTTATTGTTCATTTTCTCCCTCAAGTAAAACTGCACTAGAATTAATTTAAGGCACCCAAATTTTCGGGATATGACCTCTTCAATTCTTAGATTAACCTCAACAAAAGAACTTTTCTAACTGCGCCCTCTACATAATTGAAAAAATAATGTCACAAGATTGAACATAGATTGTCCCATTTTTAGAGGGAGAGATCTAATTGATAGAAACCTCAAATTTCAAATTTTATCTTTTGAAAATAATCATCTAGTGATAATTACGTTTTTCCAAAAATTTTAAATTGAAAAAATCCTCCCATATAGGTCGTTTTACAAAAGGAGTAAGCTTCTACTGTACTTCGTAGGAATACATCCCCTTTTTTAATTTAGCCACAATGTATTTAAGGAGTGTGTGGGGTTTGTCACTTGTTTGATGTTGCAATTGCCAAATATGTGGGCAATTCCATTAAATAAAAAAGAGCTCTTGTAGACACCCCATTTTGAAACTGGTAAATTCCATGGTTGTCCTAAATCCATAGGACCACACTATTTCAGTAGACCCCTAAACCATAGACCACTATAATCCATGGTCCGCATCCTATGATCCAGTATCCTCGTAAATCTTATAGTTTTAGTAGTTATCTACTATACACCCTTGTTTTTACTAGTTACCCAATCTACACCTAGACAATATTATAGTTTTTAGTAGTTTTTCATTCTACACCTAGCAAATCTTATAGTTTTTAGCAATTTTCCATTCTACACTTAGCAAATCTTGTAGCTTTTAACAATTTTCCATTCTACACCAAATAAATCTTGTAGTTTTTAGTAGTTTTCCATTCTACACCAAACAAATGTTGTAGTTTTTAGTTGTTTTCCATTCTATACCTAGCAAATCTTGTAGTTTTTAGTAGTTTTTCATTCTACATCTAACAAATCATGTATTTTTTAATAGTTATCTATTCTACACCCATGTTTTTAGTAGTTATCTATTCTACACCCTTTTTGAGTCTGTAAAAAACACTAACTTACCTCTTTTAGGGGTGGGACGTGGTAGGCCTGGAGATCTGAGAGGGATAAAGAGAACCCAGAGAGAAAACCTAGATCTACACCCCTGTTTTTAGTAGTTACCCAATCTACACCTAGCAAATCTTGTAGTTTTTACTAGTTTTTCATTCTACACGTAGCAAATCTTGTAGTTTTTAGCAGTTTTCCATTCTACACCTAGCAAATCATGTAGTTTTTTGTAGTTTTCTATTCTACACCAAGCAAATCTTGTAGTTTTTAGCAGTTTTCTATTCTATACCTAGCAAATCTTGTTGTTTTTAGCAGATTTCTATTTACATCTAGCAAATCTTGTAGTCTTTAGCAGATTTCCATTCTACACCTAGCAAATCTTGTAGTTTTCCATTATTCACTTACTAAATCTTATAGTTTTTAATAGTTATCTATTCGACACCCATGTTTTTAATTGTAATCAATTCTACGCCCCTTTTGAATATATAAAAAACACTAACGTGCCTCTCTTAGGGGTGGGATGCGGTAGGCCAAGAAATTCGAGTGAGATAAAGAGAGCCCAATCAACACTTAGCAAATCTTGTAGAGTTTAGTAGTTTTTCATTCTACGCGTAGCATATCTTGTAGTTTTTAGCAGTTTTCCATTATACACCTAACAAATCTTGTAGTTTTCAGCAGTTTTCTATTCTTCACCTAGCAAATCGTGTAATTTTTAGTAGTTTTTCATTCTACACCTAGCAAATCTTGTAGTTTTTAGCAGTTTATCATTGTACACCTAGCAAATCTTGTAGTTTTTAATAATTATCTATTCTACACCTATATTTTTATTAGTTATCCATTTTACACCCCTTTTGAGTCTACAAAAAACACTAACGTGTATCTTTTAGGGGTGGGACGTTGTAGGCTAGGAAATATGAGACAGATAAAAAGAACCCAAAGAGAAAACCTAGATCTAGAGAAGCAACCTTAAGCCGTGGCCCCCCTGAAACCAACTTTAGTCTAGATCTGCAAAAGTCTAGTTCAACCAAGCCAAAGTTTGGCCAAGTTTGAAGAGAGAACAACATAGGACATACGTATACTGTCGTGGTTCTGATACGAGCGAGGCTTCGAAGTCTCGAGTGCCTCGAGCCAACTGGCCCGACTAGGTATTTTCCTCATCATCTCTTTTTTCCTTATTTTTCATTTATTTTGTTAGATTTATGATTTAATTTTTTTTAATTTCAATCTTTCGTACTTGTTGGATCGATGCTGGCTCTCTCACTGATCTAAGAGCAGATCTATATGTTTTTTGATAGATCTGGCCTCGTATCAAAATTTGATTTTTCCCACTTTATCTCACATTTAAAATCAATTAGTGGTACAGATATGAGGAGGGATCTTCATCTAAAGATCTCTCCGATTTGCATTGTAAACAACGCCACAAGTGGAGAGGTGCTTATCGTAATATTTGGTAAAAACCCACCTTTATTTGCAGGACCCTCAACCTCCCACCGTATTCGCCCCTCTATCTACCTGCTGAAAAGTTACTGTCATTTGATTGGAAATGTCCATGATGTCCATCAATTTGCTTCTTAAAATTTTGAATTAAAAAAAAAAATTCAACCATGACGGGTAGGAACCCAAAAAAGGAAAAAGAAATTTTCTTTTGCTTAATTAATACATTGTCGATTTTAAAGATTTTTGAGGCCATCATTTTCTAACATGCATCTCCAAGATGTTCAGGCGTCTAGGGATGCTATAAGTGCCCTCACGTACGCACTACTTTTCCTTTTAAAAATAATCAATTTATGGCAAAAAAAAGTAGAAGCATTTTAGAAAATCGAAAAAATGAGGAGAATATAAAATAATGCATATGATGACAAATCCCCATTTTCTTTTCTTTTTTTTTCTTTTTTGCTCTTTTTATTTTATTTAAATATGAGGCTCAGCGAGGGACCAAGTCGGGGACAAATTTTATGGGTTGTTTATATCCGAGGGTATCCAAAATCATGTTTTGTATACCGAAGGTATTTTGCACAAAAAAAACATGTTCGACAACCTTTTTAGACACATAATCATGTTTTATGTAAGCAAGAAAGCGGGCCAAAACATGGGTATAAAAAATCAAGAAAAAAGTTGACATATCCAAACATGTCTGTGTACACATGAGAGAGATTGTAATATAATACAACTGAAGATAATATTATTTTGACACCCTGAAGGCTATCCCCTTTATTAAATACAATTAGTTCCGCCGAAACCCTCACAAAATAGAGAGAGAAATTACTTCAAAATTTAAGTACTAGAGAGAGAAAATATCTTAAAATTTTAGAGTGAGAAACTATATCAAATTTTAAAAAGAGAACAATTGAAAAATTTTAAAGAGAGAAACTATATTAAAATTTTAAGAGAGAAACAACTAACAAATTTTAGAGAGAAAGTATCTCAAAATATTTAGAGAGAGAAACTATATCAAATTTCAAGTTTTAAAAGGAGAAAATATCGTAAAATTTTAGAAAGAGAAATTATATTAAATTTTTTTAAGAGAAATTACCAAAAACGTTTTGACGAGAAACTTTCTCAAAATATTTAGAGAGTGATTGTATCAAATTTTAAGTTTTACATGAAGAAAATATCATAAAATTTTAGATAGAGAAACTATATCAATTTTTAGAGAGAGAAACTATTTCAAAAAATTTAGAGAAAGAACCTATATCAAATTTTAATTCTTTGATAGATAAATTATCTCAATTTTTTTTTAAAGAGAAATTATCTCAAATTTCAAGTTTGATGTGTTTTCTCTTAATGTGCCGGTTTCCAATTAGAGGTACGCCTTCGAACTTGCAACATATGCATACGACACCCTTTTAACATAAATTTTCCACAATGCCAAAAGTTGCGGATTACAGGGAAATTTCAGCACATCCCTTTAGGCGTATCCTACATTGCAACTTCCAATTCATTATTTGTCATTAATAATACCTGTGTATTAACAAAACAAAAAAAGTTTAAAATCTAATAACAAAGTGAGCCTTCTCATCGCAAGCCAGCATTTCAGCTCTTGCATATAACTTCTCTTCATACAAATTTTTACTTTATAAACCCCTCTTCGACCGCACAAGGTTTCCCAACTTCCAACAATGAGCTCCAATCTCCTCTTTTTCCTCGTAATCACGGGGTTCGTCGCCATGTCCTCAGTTGCTGATGACGTGTACAAGCCATATATCGTCCACATGGACACATCAGCAATGCCGGCTTCCTTTTCCACTCATGACCGCTGGTATGAATCCTTACTGTCATCCATCGGATCACCACATGGCAAGCCCCCGAGGCTCCTCTATGTCTATCACCACGTCATCAAGGGCTTTAGTGCCGTGCTATCTGGATCCCACCTCCAGCAGCTTCGGACGATGCCAGCTCATCTCGCAACGGACCCGGATTCATATGGCACGCTCCATACGACCCGCACTTCCAGTTTCCTGGGACTGAATAAACAGATCGGTCTCTGGCCCGTTGGAAATTTTGGCAATGGCACGATAATCGGGATCATTGATAGTGGAATTTGGCCAGAGAGCAAGAGCTTTGATGATAAGGGGATGCCTCCAATTCCTAAAAGGTGGCGGGGTGCGTGTGAAATTGGAGAAGAATTCGGTACTTTAAATTGTAATAGGGAGCTCATAGGTGCCCGCTCATTTAGCAAGGGCCTAAAGGAGCGTGGCAAAAACATCTCAGAGATCAACGACTATGATTCCCCGAGAGGTTCCCACAGCCATGGGACCCACACGGCTTCTACTGCTGCGGGTTCCCCTGTTCGTGGTGCCGATTACTTTGGTTATGCCTGCGGTCGGCATAGCTCCTAAGGCTCGACTGGCCATGTATAAAGTGTTGTGGCAATCGGATACAACTGAATCAGCAGCCACAGACGTGTTAGCAGGTATGGATCAGGCAATAGAAGATGGAGTGGATCTTATGTCTCTGTCTCTGGGTTTTCGGGAGACACCCTTCTTTGACAACGTGATTGCTCTCGGGGCCTTTGCTGCCACCGAGCAGGGCATCTTTGTCTCATGCTCCGCTGGGAATAACGGGGATGCCTACACCATCTCCAATGGTGCACCATGGATAACCACGGTGGGTGCAAGTACCTTTGACCGTGGCTATGCAGCTTTGGCCACTGTGAGAGGAGAGGGCAATGATACTATTGAAGTTTTAGGACTGTCGTTCTACGCTGAGAGCATCCTGATTTTTCATGATCCTTTTTACTACGGCAAAGGTAACACCAGTAAGGAGATTTGCTCCTCCAACTGGCTTGATGCATCTGAGGTTGCCGGCAAAATTCTGTTTTGTTCTTTTATCAGCGGAGAGTCTGATGCTTTCACACAGATGAACGAAGCGAATCGAACAGGCGCCAAGGCTGTGATCCTGGCTTCGGACATCGGTCATTTATTTGTGCCCGATAATTATTACTTTCCGACAGTCATGCTTGGGTTGAAAGATGGCGAGAAAGTGAAGGACTTCATGACCAAGACAGTGAACACTACGGTTGACATCAAGTTCAAAATCACAGTCTCTGATCAAAAGCCGGCACCACAGGTCGCGTACTTCTCATCACGAGGTCCCTACCGTATAACTCCTGGATTACTGAAACCCGATGTGGTAGCACCCGGGGTAAATGTCTTAGCTGCTTGGATGCCTAATAGAGTAGCTGCAGTAGCCCGGTCAGTTTACCTTGTCTCTGATTATAGTCTTGTATCGGGAACATCCATGTCATCCCCTCATGTTGTGGGAGTGGCTGCGTTGCTACGTGCGGTGCACCCGGACTGGAGTGTGGCTGCTATACGCTCTGCACTCATGACCACTGCATGCACCACAGACAATACTCATGGCCCCATCTTGGACATGTACAATGGGATTGCTAGGACCCCTCTGGACTATGGTTCGGGGCACATAGACCCCAATAGGGCCATGGATCCAGGGCTCATTTATGACATAGGTGTGCAGGATTACATTGATTTTGTGTGTTCGTTGAATTATACTCAAAAACAGGTTAGGATTATCACAAGAAGATCGAATTACACTTGTACCACATCTAACTTTGACATCAACTATCCATCGTTCATGGTCATCTTGTACAACAACGTCTCTTCGCAGACGTTCAAGAGGGTATTGACGAATGTGCAAGATTCGCCTGCAGTGTATCATGCCATGGTGGAGGCCCAAATTGGGATGAATGTAACTGTGGAGCCACAAGCTCTGTCGTTCGGTCCCAAAGGCAGCACACAGGCTTTCACTTTGAGGGTTGATGTTGATTTAGGGGGTATGAGACCAAATAGTGGTTACATAGGGAATTATGGACACCTAAGTTGGATTGATAAGGAACATAAGCATGTGGTGAGAAGTCCCATTGTGTCCGCATTTGCACTTTAACTATACTTGTTCTATTGCAAATCTAATAATAATTTGGAAGTGTAATCTGTTTTTATAAATGAAGGGAGATATAAATCCCAAGGAAAATATAGCAATGGGGCAGTGGAGAAATCATAGTTATGGCTAATTTAATTGTTCGAAAGCTTTGTTTCCATTTGATCATGGATTTTATATCTAAATGCTTTTAGTGTGTAACGGTTACTGTTCTAAAAGAATTGTTTGGTGCATGCAAGCCCTCATCTGCTACTATGTGGGATTGGAGATTTACACCATCCACTAAACAAAGTGTAGATCTACACCATAAATAATAGTCTTCTAAAGAAAAAATAAAACCAACGGTACAAATATTTTCTTCAAAAAATATCATTTCTAGTTTTTAAAATTTATTTGTTTTACATGTTAATAATCTGCATTTTAAAGAATAAATATTCCCTAAAAATTAGGATTAAATTCTATTTCAAAAATAAATTATTAAGGGGCCCGCATTTCTACATGTGAGTCCATGGACTCATGGAAACCATATCCTTATTTAAATAAGATACGTTTCTTAATTTTGGAGTGTAGGTGTATTTTTATAAATATAAATAAATAAAAATTAAATAATATTTTAAATAAAAACTAACCAACATACCACTAAATTTATTTTGGTCAATATTTTTTATTCAAAATATTTTTTTAGAAATTTTATTCATAAAACTGAGCCTAAACTAAAAATTTTAGATTAATATCATTTTTAAATAAAAATTTAAAATAAAAAATGAGATTCATTATTGGATGGCCATGGTTCAGTCTAAACCATTAAAAGGTGCCAGTGCATCTTTTAATCTTAAGCGTCCCTTGTGGACGCAATGCCAACCCTGTGGCGGCTCCGTGAGTAGCAGTGGTCCATCAAACATGGATAGCAAGAAGGTAAATAGATTATCCAGCAAAATATCGGGCTACATCCATAGGGGTTAAGTGTGTTAGATCACCTAAATCTTTAAAGAAAAAAGTTTATAAAAGGTTGAAAATGTAGAAATAAGGTGCATTGCGAAAATCCTTTGAAAAATGTTGTTTTGATGTCGGAAACACACCTAACGGATCATCTTGACATCGTGGTGTACGGATAGAGTAGAAAAAATAGTACATTTTGCAATATATTATCTCAATCACATTTTCTGGATTTTCATGCATCTATACTATTTTTAGAGTTTTAAATTTTACAATCAGATATGAAAATAGATTATTGCTCCATCTTAAGAATTTCCGGCACTAAAATTATATTTTAGGAAAAAGTTTTGAAGGTACGTCATACTTTGGTTGTATAAAATTACAGCCTTAGCAAACCATACCCTTTTTTATAACCTCCTGTAATTTAGGGTGTGGTTTGTATAAGGTTGCAACTTTAAACCATTCAATAAAGGCACATCACCAAATTTTATCATAACATATAATTTTAGTGTAAATTTTTTTTAAGATTAACTGAAAATTTCTTTTAATATCTAATTATAGAATTTTAAACTTCAAAAATGGTTCATCTGGTAATTCCTTGTTACTTGAGGATGTCCATCATGTTCTCAACCTTCCTCTTAATTTGATATCAGTTGGACAATTAGTTGGCAATAATTATCTTTTCTCATTTTCTATTAAAGGTTGTGTGGCGTAGGATCAGGTAACCGAAAAGGTGATTGAGAAAGGTACTACGAAAGGCACTCTTCACAATTAACTTCAATGTGGCTCCTTCTCACTTTTACATGCCGTACATGTGTGCCACATTTCTATTGCTTCTTATGAAATAAGTCAATCAAATTCTCTCTGTATGTTTGACACTATAGGTTAGGTCATCCACATTCTCAATAAATGTTATCCCTTTTGAATTCTAGACTTTTATCTGCCGTCTTTCTCAGTAAAAAGGTTAATAAAGATATTTTGTGTGAGAGTTGTAAGTTGGCAAAACACTTGGCTCTACTTTTCCCCCATCATAATAATAAAAGTATCGATCTTTTTTCTTTATCTGGTGAGGCCCTACTTATGTTCCTTTGATTTGTGGTTTTGCCTATTATGTGACATTTATTGATGAGTTTTCAAAGTACATATGATTTTATTTTTTCAAACACAAATCAGCTGCTGGATCCGTGACCGCTTGAGCAATAGCCGCTTCGATGAAGGGCTCCTCATGTCATTGTATCTTTTGATTATAGTATGGGCATCGTCAGACTTTCCCACTGTTGGTCATTGCCCCCCGTAACGCAAAACAAGGCTTGATATGTGTTCTCCAAAGCAAAGATCTCCCTATAATTGGAACTTGATCCGGGGTTACATCCTTTCTAGCTCTCCCTCCCAGAAGAGGATGAATTAGATCAGACACTACCTAGAGAAAGGAAATGCTATTTGTTTGCCTCATAGATTCATAGTCGAGGATTGCAATCAAGACCTGCCATAGCTAGCCGACCGGGAGGGAGAGAAAACTTCAGTTCGTGAGAAAGGTCAGGCGAGAATGGGGAGGAACAGAGAGAGATACACATTGGAGACGGATCCGGGCTTCAACGTTGAACCACAAGCTCGTGTTTAGGCCATAGTGCTTACATAGCTACTGAATCGGATGTGATTGCCATTACGATTGATGTCCCTTCACCTCACCGCCACTGTGGATTACCCTTGATAAGCATAAGTACTAGTGTGTTTAGTGTCTTTAGAGACATCCATAGTATGATTAAAAATCAATTTGAGAAAAATATTAAAGTCTTTAGGTCAGATTCAAGAGAAATATTTATCTAATAAATTTCCGGCATATCTTCATATAAATGGCAATATTAATCAATGTTCAAGCTCTCATACCCCTGAACAAAATGGAGTCGTCGAAAGAAAATATTGGCATGTCCTTGAATTGCTAGCTCTCTTCTTATAAACATTCATTTTCCAAATATTGTGAGCGAAAACAATCTCCACTGTTGTGTATCTTATTAATCTTTGTAGACACCCCCTCGAAATTCTGGTTAAGGGAACTCCTATAAACCTCGATTCTAAGCCCAAAGGACCACACAAACCCTAGTAGACTATAGGAAACCTTGATCCAATATAATTAATCCAAAATTTCTCAAACCTTCCCAACTTGAAGAAGAACCCGAGAGCTTTCCAACGGTCCAAAAATCGTCTGAATCAGACCTATGAATAAAAAGATCTAACAAATATAAATTTAGTCCCTGTGTGACCCAAGTATCGGGCCACGGGCCAGGCCGTACACCCTTGAAGGCCCCAGACGCGGCCTGATGATGCATAAAGGCATTTAATTGTTCAATAAAGGTATTTTATGACACAATAACGGTACTTTTTTTAATTAGATAAAGCTAAAACTTTAGGATAAACCCAAAATATTATGAAAACATTCCAAAAAAAGAAAGAAAAACCACCAATTGAATCCTATAAATATCCCCTCCATAACCCAAAAGAAAGATGAAGAAAAGATAAAAAATTAAATCCCTTAGAAATTTTTAAAATTAGAAAAATAGCCCAAAAATAGAAAAACCCTAAGAAAATTCCTAAAATCCCTCAAAATCCCCAAAAATCATAGAAAATCCTAGAATTCATATTCAACCTTTGGAGATCCCAAAACCCTTAGATAACTAAGGGGAATTCTTCTCCAATCCCAAAACCCTTAGATAACTTAAGAACCCTAGATCTATGTCAAAAAAACTTAGATCTACCAATTCCAGTTAGCAAATGCATCCAAAAAAAGAGATGGTGGTGCAAATCGGAAGAATGACCCGATCCAAGCTGGAAACTCCAAGTTTCGGGTCCCTAAAACTAAGTATTTCTTACTTTATTTAATTTAGTTTGTTTTTCTTCATTTAATTATCTATTTTATTTTATTTTTTCTGGAATTAATTTATCATTAGATTTAATTACATTTAAAAGCATTTGCTTTAGGTCAAAATACGGATTTAGAGCTGGCGCTACAAGTGGACTCCAAAAAAGACTAGATCTATACAAATCTGGGATTTTTCTGACCCATAATTTAAGTGACCCCACTTTCTCTAGCTTTTTAAAAAATTAACTCAGTTTTGTTATGATTTGAGCAGATCTTATCCTAAAGATCGGCACAGATTGGAGCATAAACAGTTTGACACCCACCGTGGGGCACCTTGAGCTTTATATCCGTCTTTTAGACTTAAAAAAGGCTTATTTTTCTTTCTCATATTTATTTTTCTAGAAAAAATTAAAATAAAAAAAGAATAAAAAGAAAAAAATTAAGGTAGATTTGAAAATATTTCTTTTTTAGATTCTATCTTTTCTTTCTAGATTTTATTTCATTTTATTTTTTTCTCCCCATAAAAAATTTAGGATCTCTCTTTGATTATCTTTTAGACCAATTTTTATCTTCTTTTTTAGATCCTTTAGACCAATCTTTATCATCTTTTTTAGATCCTTTAGACCAATCTTTATCATCTTTTTTAGATCCTATAGACCAATCTTTATCATCTTTTTTAGATCCTATAGACCAATCTTTATCATCTTTTTTAGATCCTTTAGACCAATCTTTATCATCTTTTTGAGATCATCGTCTTTTGGATTCATCTTTTCGATCAATCTTCATTATCTATTTGAGATAATCTTCTTTTAGTATCATGATCATCTTTATCTTTAGATCTTCTTTTAGATTCATCTTTTAGATCAATCTGTATTATCTTGTTTAGATAATCTTCTTTTAGATCAATCTAGATCATCTTCATCTTTAGATCTTCTTTTATATTTATCTTTAGATCTTTTTTTATTTTTATTGTTTAGATCATCTTTATCAGTTTTGGTTTTTTAAAACATCTTTAGATTCATCTTGATATCATCTATATCATCTTTATTGTCTTTTTCATATCTTCTTTCATTCATGCTTAACATTTTTAGATCACCTTTTATCTTCTTTAGATCATAATTATATTCTTTAAGTGCATCTTTATTATTATTATTATTTTAGAATACATTTTTTAGATAGAATATTTATCTCTTTCCTAAAAAAATAAAATTTT